ATCAGAATTCAGATGATCTTAGATTTAATTTTTTAAGTTTTCAACTTGATTTTTGCCTTGAGATTCGTGTCCGATCAAGATAATTTTTTGATGATATATCAATTGCCTCCTATTTTTGAATGTAAAAGCTCAAGAAGTTCGAAAATACTTATTCCAATATTTTATAATGTCCGAATCATAAAAAATTACATTCCAAAAAACATAAACTTGCTTAAACTCACTCATAGATGCCCCGTTGAGCTTCGAAAGTGTCAAAATTAAGTCCGGAATAATGAAAAATGTATTCGAGAACCCCAAAAACATCTGATTTAGACTGTTCGAGCAAAAAATTGGGCCCAAACAAGTATATGTGGTCAAACCGGCGTTCAGCCGGCAGGCCGCAACCAGGGACGGCACGAGCACCGTGCGAGAACAGGCACGCCTGTTTTGGGCATTTAGTTAACCATGCGGTTATAATTTTTTTTTAATTTTAAATTTCTAAAAAATTCTCAAAAAATTCTGAAAAATTTTCAAACAATTTCAAAAAATTCTGAAAAATTCTAGAAATTCTAGAATCTTACTGAACTTATCCTCTTCCAAAAAATGCTATAAATACCCCCATGTGCCAGGGGGGAAATTGGTCCTTCTTCTTTATTCTCCTTCTACCTTTCTTATAGTGGAGGCATTCCTTTATTTTTTGTAGGTGACTTTCCCTACTTAAATTAGAGCCCCTTTTTTTATATAGAAGTTAAAATTTACTGTTTTTTCTCTCCTATTTTTCTTCTTGCTCTAAAGGCCTTTCGCTGTTTTTAATAGGAAATTCCCTACTTAAATTCAATGCCCATCTTTAGTGTAGAAGGAAAATTTTTCTTCTTCCACTGTCTTCTCCTCTTGCTATCTTCTTATAGTTGAGGCATTCTGCTATTTTATATAGATGACTTTCCCTACTTACATCAACACCCATCTTCTTGTATAGAAATTAGACTTATTGTAGTCGTTTCTTTTCTTTCTCCTCCCTCGTTCTAACTTTCTAACAGTGGATGATTCCATTATTTTTTATAGGTGACTTTTTCTATGCAAAATCAGTGCCCTTTTCCTCATATAGAAGTTATAATTTTTATAGCATTTTCTTTCTTTTCTCCCCCATCTCCTTCTTGCTATAGAGGCCTTCCACTATTTTTTGTAGGTGATTTTTCCAACTCAAAATCAATGCTTCTTTTCTTGTGTAGAAGTTGGAGTATTTTTGTAGCTGCTCCTCGTCCTCCTCCTCCTCCCTCATATTGAGGCATTCCCCTAGTCCTGTTCAGGTCTAGGGCCCCTCATTAAGTAGAAGTCTCCTCCTCCTTCCTCAAAAGTTCATGTGGTCGGGGGAAAATCAATGATTGTTAGCATACCATAGGAAGTCTGATGAAATTCCCATGATGGTAGAAGTCTAGTAATAGGAGGAAGTTTAGTGTCAGATAGAATTCTGACAAAAGTCCCATGACATGTAGATGTCCAATGATTGGAGGATAACCATAAGTGGTGAGTAGACATGGAGAATTTTGACACTATTTGAGAAGAAGTTCATCAGCAATAGACGACTGATTTAAAGTTTATTGGCAGTTAACGGTCGAATAGAGAGCTTAAGGAGAGAGTTGGAGGGTATGATACTATAAATAGTTTGAGCTAGAAGATGATGATGATTGATATAAAGTAAAGGACCGCCAGTATACATCATATGAAGGGTCGATGATGGCACATATCCAGTGGCATTTGGCTAAGGCAATATGCATCCATATGGAAGTGTGTCGACATCATATATCATTATATGGATGATATAATATAATTTTTGAATTCAACTTCTACCAAGAATAAATGTACACTTGAATCTTGATGTTGAATTTATGTAAATTTATTGTATATGAAGTTAAGAATTTATCCCTTAGAAGAAATTGAATTGTTTATGTATCTTTGAGATATGTTTTGATATATTACCCCTATATTTTTGGAGCACTGTTAGACTGCTAAGGTCTTTATATAAGTGATGAATTTATTAATCACTTGCTTTCATGGAATCTTTATAGAGAGAATACTATTCACTTAGAGCACTACTTGTTGATGTTGACCTCTATGGAAGAGGTCAAGAGAATTCATCAAGAATATAATATATATCCGAGATTGTATGTCACAGTACTACTCGATAACGTTAATCTGTATGGAAGAGATTGAGAGAATCCACAAAGAATATAAGACCTATCTAAGGTTATATATCATAGCACTGCTCAATGATGTTAACATGTATGATAGAGGATGAGAGAATCCATTAAGGATGTAAGACCTATCATGTTAGTATATAAATGAACCGTGTATCACATAAGTGCCGAGTAAAAGAGACCAGGACAGAGACCTCCAAGGAAAACGCCTCTTAGCAATTCAGGATCTTCTCCTAAAATTTATCGAGCTTTCATGGAAAATTACTGAAAATACTCCTTCATTGATTCTCCTTAATTCTAATAAATCCCAGAAAGGTGGGAAGAATCATTAGTAATTCTCCAATTGACAATAAATTGTTCAACAAATATTTTGACCAATTTGATAATAGTAAGGATTGTTCCAACTGGGAGTAAATAAAATCATATTCGTGCTTATCCCTTAAGGTTAGCAGGGAAAATTTGGCATAGGAGCGCATCAGAGGCTCACTGGATATGCATGATGGTCCTATAATGACCGATATGCTCATACGGGTCGGATGTCATGTCATAAGAATCGATACTCGATAATTTGAATCTTGCTAGAATGAGGTGTTGAATGATAGCTTCGGTCAGGGGTGATGACTTCTATAAGTTCCACTAATGATGAAATTGCTTTATACCCCTTATGGGAAACTCTTCTCAGACAAATCTTCGTAATTCATGACGTAAGGCATTACGAGGGAGTTCAACAATATGCTGTCAGGCTGAGTCCTTGGGGATGTCCGAAGGAATACGAGGTTGGTGACTTATATGTGAAGGATGTGTAGAGCTTGCTGTGTCAGCAAGCTCATTTTCTTGATGTGTCGGAGGGGGCATCCTTGGCGGAGGAAGGAGAATCTCACCACGAAGATGTTCAGGTTGAATATCTTTGAGCCCTAGTGGATCTCGCGGGAGAAAAATCTCTTCTTTAGGTGCTAATGTCAGTCGTCGAGTCTCTCGTAGGAGTTGAAGGATCTCATTATGATATTCCTCTATCTTTCTAATGCAGTCTTTTAGGGAAGGCCCCAAAGTTCCTTCTCTAATAGCATTATGCCCCTCAAGATAAAAAGAGGCGGATGCTTAGCGTCCTTGGTTCATGGAAGGATTCCTTGATTGGTGTGAGTTAGAGCAGGAGGCTTCCAAGATACGATTGCTACGTATGTTGGCCATCAAAGTAACACTTGAAATTGTGGGATAATGTTTCTCACAGACGACGCCAAACTGTTACAGACTAGAATATACGCGGTAATAGAGTTAGAAAGTTTTTGTCTTAGCATTGTACGAATATCCAGCACACAAATAGAAGATGAAATAATACTAAGATTTTTATGTAGAAAACCGTGGAAAGGGAAAAAACCGTGGGGCCACGCCCAATTGAAAGGATTCTACTAGTGTTTGCTAGAGGTACAAGAGACTGCTTATTCTTAAAATTTTGGATAATCATATTACAATGATTCACTTCAAGGTTGAAATCCAGTTACAAATAAGTTGTGTGTTCGAGCTGAATTCCAGAGACACTTGGAGATTAGATAGAATCCCGGTGTCACTTGAAGATCGGGCAGAGTTGTGGCGTCGCTGGAAAGTCGGGTGGAACTCCGGCGTCACTTGGAAGTCGGGCAAAATTCCAGCTTCACTTGGAAGTTGGATAGAATTCCGGCATCACTTGGAAGTCAGGCAGAATTCCGGCGTCACTTGGAAGTCGGGTAGAATTCCGGCGTCACTTGAATGTCGGGCGAAACTCCGGCTGTGGTCGAGGAGTTTCTTCCCTCATTCCCTTCTTCTCTTCTCCTTCTTGCTTGGGTCTCATTCATCACCCCCTTTGGAGGGTTCCTTACTTAATTCCTGCATTGACCGGCTGCTGGGTGAAAGTCCAGCGATGGTCGAGGAGGAGCTTCTTCCTTATCTTCCTTTTTTCTTCTACTATGATCTCCTTCTCTTATCTTCTTCTTCTCTTGCTTCGGTCCCCTCTTAAGAGAAATGGGGGACTATTCATAATTTTTTGAGAGTTACATGACCCATAAATACGGGGAGGATCAAGGGCAAATGTGGAGTGGTTTGGATGGACGGCCGATATTGAATCCCTTGATCGTGGATATTTCATTAGACATTTGAAGATCTTAATGATATCGGAATTAAATCGATCCTTGGCTCATTGGATTCATCTCGTCGAGCCGCTCGATTCGACTATAAGCATGTCATATTTATAAACTTTTTGGTAAACCAAATTATGGATTGAACCTTCCAAATGTGCATCGGGTCTTCGATTTGGACCCATTTGAGTGTCGTTGGGTTCGTATTTCCGATACGCACAATTCGACTATAAATTTGCTGAAATCAGAGTTCAGATGATCTCAAATTTAATTTTTGAAGTTTCCAACTTGATTCTTGCCTCAAGATTCGTGTCCGATCAAGATAATGTTTTGATGATATATCAATTATATTACAAAATGATGACATTTTGATCCAAATGATATTTTAATCATATTTTATTATATGAAAATATAAGGATATATTTGTTTAAATATTGTCATTGTTAGGCATATAACATCAAATCTCCTAGTTTTAATAATATTTACACAATAAGGGTAGTTTGATTTGAAATAAATTTCGCTTATATTTCAACAAATAAAAAATTAATGTATATTTTTATCCAAATATCACGATCATACAAAATTAAATTTCCCAATTTATCCATTGAAGCGCACGCTTCGCCGGCCTCGCTGTTCCCCTCTGCCGACCGAGTCGAATTGGTCACAAGCCAACGAAGTCTAGCCGGCGACTCAGCCTATTTAATATCATTTACTTTTTTTACCGCTAGCATATAACATACGCTGCCCCGACGACTACTCAAAATGAGTCGCCGAGTTCTAACCGATCCGCAAGGGGCGAGCTGCCGACCCGATACATGAGAGCTTTACCGTCTGTCGATCCTGTACAGCGCCCAGATCTGCCCATGTCATCGCCTCCGTCACCCTCCGCCGGCCCTCACCGCGTCGCTGCAGTCTCCATCCGCCTTCCACCGCCCTGTCCCCACCTCGCCGCCTACCGTTCCGCCGGGAGCTCCCATCCTCTATGCTCACTCTATCAATGCCTCCGCGTGCGTCCACTCGGTCGTGCCGAGGTTCGACGCGGTCCTGGCGAGGTCCCTCGCTGCTCTTCGTGCCCCTCGGCCAGTAGTCCTCGCCTCTATGCTTGCCTCGCCTGCGCTGCCGTCCACTGTCCCGCTCACGCCACTGCCCATGCCCGTATTGGCCATGAGATAGCCGTCGACGTCGACCGCGCCGAGCTATTCTGCTGCGCATGCGGCGATCAGATCTACGATCGTGACTTTGACGCCGCCGTCGTGTTTGCGCAGGCCGCTGCTGCACCCGCGCCGGCGAGGTTGGAGCCTGCCGTGTCTGAGGAGAATGTCAGAAAGCGGCAGAGGGTTGAGTACCGATCGTGGTACCCGAATCGGAAGGAGAGTGCAGTGATTTGGAGGGGATCTGGCCCCATCTTTGCCAATGATGAGAATGTATCTTCGTCGGCTGGATCTCGCTTTCCGTGGGGACTCAGAGGATTGAACAATCTTGGGAACACCTGCTTCTTGAACTCTGTTCTTCAAGCGCTACTTCATACTCCGCTCCTGCAGAACTACTTCCTGAGCGATCGACACAATCGCTTCGTTTGCCAGCAGAGAAGCAGGAGGAAGAAAGGTGAAGGTGCTGACGAGCAGATAACTGCTACATTATGCCTTTCTTGTGATCTGGACGCGATGTACTCTGCGGTGTTCTCTGGTGATAGCAGACCTTACAGCCCTGCCAAGTTTCTATATAGGTCCGATATACCTCCATCGTTCCATTCTCTTCTTTCAGATGTAATTGTGGTCGGAAAGTTGGTAGGGAGGACATTAGCCGCTGTGATAGGGATTTCGCTCTTGTTTATCTAAAAGCTTCTCCATTTTAAAATTTATATAAAACTTTTTCAGAGCCAGTTAAAGAATTGACAGAAACTATAAATTTTTTCCTTTAATGTACGATTCTCTCAGCGTAAGAGGAAAGGAAAGCGGGCTTATCCATTCCAGTTGCTGCTACGGATTATGATCTTACGATCAGATCACTCTAATCTTGGCCCATTTTGTGGATTCAATATGCGCATCATAAGTCCCATCAATGTTGCATTGGCTCGTGCGCATTTTCTAATCGTCTTAAGTGCTATTTTTGTACATCCAAATTTGCATTTATCGGGTTAGATCTGTCTTGCTGTTTATAATTGTCCAAGGTCAAGACGGGTTGGCCATTTAAAGATTTCTGGTCTCGTCAAGTGATAAAAAATATGCAACCTATTTGCCTTTTACTTGGCACTATGCTCATTAAAGTCATCAAATGAAGTCGCCAAAAATTTCATCAGAATTCAACAAGCCTAACTGCCTAAGTGAAGTCGGCGCCGAACTTCACCCAAGTTTTGTCCTTTGCTTAGAACTCAATATGAGCTATTTATGTATTTTTATAACAATCACTTGTTAGGCCTTTTTATGTAATTTTACTTTTATTAAATGCATATTAATTTTGTACTTTCTATCAATCTAATGAAATTTTAGAATTTCTCTTTCTCTCTTTTTAGCTAGATCCATATTTACAGTAAAGTTCTGATGTACCCAGAAATAAATTATATTAAAGAAATTGATTTATTTATTCTAGCCTAATCGGTAAAAACAAGAACATCTACATCATTTGCTTAAGAAATGCATTGGAATGGCTTAAAGATCCATTGCTACTGTTCTTACATCTACAGCTAGTTTTGTAAGATGGCATCTTCCATATGATGAAGCTAACCAACTCAGGAAGCCCTTGTGGATCAAGTTTTTTAGCCTGATAGTTTATTATAATGGCCTTATAACTGGACGCAATTTTAGGTATCCTTGATGAGCATCTGTAGCTACTGTTTGTCTTCAATGAAAGATTTTTCACGTACTAGCAATGTGGGATGGATATTTCTAGTGTATTTCACTTTGAGTGTTTAAAATAGCAGACACAATTCTTGCATTGGGTATCAATTACACTGTTTTTTTTTCTATAGGTATGTTTCTACGATAAATGCTACTTTTTGGGTCCAATTCAGGTTTGATTTGGCAATGATTTGCAGGATAAATCAACCTTCATAGGAATTTGTTTCCTGATATCTGCTATTATTGGGTCCAATACATAGCTGAATATACTAGTTTATTTAGCTAAAATGCATAAGTTGTTTTAGTTGGTGTTGAACCAAATAATTCAGGCCAAATCTCTTCTCATCATAAAAATTGATTAATATTGTTAGGCAACTCTGATGAGTATCTCCAACCACTGTTTGTTTGAGATAAAAGATTTTTCATGCATATGCCTATGTTGTATTCTCATAGATAATTCTAGAACGTTCAATGTTCTGGGTTTGAAGCCAACACATAATTCCTTAACCCATATGGTTTTTCTATGGGCATGTTGAATCTTTTCTGCTGAAGTGAAACTTTGATTGTGATGATTTCACGAGAGTGTTTGTAATGATGTCTGCTGATAACTCAATATGATTTTGATCAGCAATGTCAATTTTTTTGAGTTTTGAGTCCAATACAAAGGTGAATTTGGCAGGTAATGCATTTGCATGTGTCCGATGTTCTTACAGTTAAACATTTTGGTTATTGTCAAACTATCCCAAATAGGATCTTTAACCAATTCTTAGCATGCCTTTAGCTACTAAAACTACCATTTTGACAAAGTATAGAAACGATATCTCTCCTAAAAATATCTCCAAAACGGGATTAAAAAATATATCATTTTGTTAACAATGGTAGGTGACCTTTTTTGGTTTCAATTGGTGACTTTTTTTTCTGGATTTCTCAACCAATTTCTTGCATGCCTCTAGCTAACGCAGCTTTGTTTTGACAATGTATACAAAGTACAAACAATATTGCTTCTTAAAGTACCTCCAAAATCTTGATTCAAGTGAAGTATAAACCATTTTGCTAACAGTGATAGGCGACCTTTCCTTGGTTGCAGTTGGTGGCAGCATGCCTCACATTTGGCAAGTTATGAACAGCAAGACGCTCATGATTTTTTCATTACCATGCTTGATGGAATCCATGAAAAAGAGCATGAGCAGCGCAAATTACACAATGAGGGTAACATCAGTAACTCTCTTCAGATCGCTTCTTCATGTTTGTTAACTTTTCTAATATCCCTTCTTTCAGTTTTTCTTCGATGTATCACATATCCGTTCTACATGCATTGTTTGACAAATTTAATTTATGAAGTTGTGAAGCAGTTGTTTACTGCAATAATGATCAAGCAACAGGTGGTTGAAAGTATCCACTTGGAAAATTGAAGATTTTTGGCGAAGCATCAATGACAAAGTTAATATCAAAATGCCCAAAACTTGTTTTAGATTGAATAATGGTAGGCAGATAGCTGATATAAAATTACGGCAATTTATAAAATTGAAACTAATTGGCTTGAATTGAGGGATTATGCTAAGAGATTTAGTGTTTATTAGGCTTAAAATGAGGAAAGTACATAAGAGAAGTTGATAGTGGTATGTTTACTGTTGTCCGCATCTACTACAGACTCTTGAAGCCCGAGGATTTAGAGCTAACTGTCAAATATAAGAATTTTAAAAGCTAGAATTGAGTTTTACACTGTTGTACTAAAGAAGGAAAGCACTGGCACAATCTTAGGCTATTACCCAAAGGATATGAAAGACCAGATCAATTGAAAGAAAAAATTCTTGATTCTAAGCAAGGTTTGACCATTTTACTTTTTGAAAGCTTGTATTTTACTGCACTTAACCAACAGTGAATGCTTGGAGATCTATTAGAACCAGCTTAAACTGAACCGGCTAGTCCTAACTCCTAAACTGTGCGAGCAAGAGCCGAACAAAGGCCTGCGTACGCGAGCGACTTTATTGGAGGGATGGACGGATCCGATCGCGTGATCTCTTCAACGGATGTGTACAAGAGTGAAAACTAATGACTTCTTTTGAATAATATCTTCGGTTCACTCACTCTCGTAAGGTTAAAATGCGTGAGGAAGTTTTTGTCGAGAGAAGCGGCTGAGAGGAAGAATGAAGGAATTAAGTTTTTCAAATTCATTTATTTTGGCATTTTTCTTCTTCTATGATTAATTCTAAGAAAAGATAAGTTATATTAAAGGGAGATCGAGAGAAAGAGAGAAGGAAGGAAGCAAACTTGATGGGTAGGGCAAGCGAGAGTCTCGTGTAAGGGAACAATGTAAGATTTTTATTAGTATTATTTTGATAAAAGATGATGATAATAATTTTTTTTAATGAAATTTATATATTAAAATTTAATTAATTATGATATGTATATAAAATAATATGATATTTTTAAGTTAGAAAATGTATAAATTAAATTTATGTAAATCTGATTGAGAAGAATAATGAGTTGACAAAATTGTATAGGAAATGAGATATTTTATCAAATATAGAAATAATAATAATAAATTTTATATTTCATCTGTAAGCGAGACTTTAATTATGATGTTGTTTAAATTTAAATAACGAGATTAAATTTTATTGCTAAATTAAAATACAAGCACTAATTGGATATATTTAATAAATAGTTAATTAAGAGAGTATAAAAATCATCTTTAGTTTCATATATATATTATACAACATATTTTTTTTAATGATTTTTTAATTATTTTTTATTATATGAATAATTATTTTTTTAGTTGATAATATTTAATTTTATCTATTTATTTTTTAATATTTTTTATTATATATATTATAAAGTTTATTTGGATTCATTTTTTCTCATCAAGCTGCTCGAGTAAAAATTATATGATATAAATTGTAATATAAAAATTTAATTTTTATAATTTGAATAATATTTTTTTTGAAAAAAATTATTATATTTTTTTGGTTAATACTATTTAATTTTTACCAAATGAAATACTCTTATATTAAAAAATTTGCAAAGTTTCAGTTTTTCACCTTTAAAAAACTTTTATGTTACCAAATAAATTACTTTTATATTACAATATTTAATTATATTTATAATTTTATATTGTGAATTTTTAAATAATTTATATTTGTAAATTAAATCTAAATATGTAATATAAATTAACAATAATTTATATTAAATTTAAATAAATTGTATGGTTATTATATTTCATTATTTTGTTAATTTTATTAATTTTTATAATAATAATATTATTTATTACGTCATCCGGTTCGACTGGTCAAACGTGAACCTCTCTTTCTTTCGGTTTGTTATCTGGTGCGGTTTTCAGAACCTTGGTACTAATCAATAATATTTGAGATGTTAACTTGAAATTGAAATTACAATAATTAATTATAAATTAAAAGTTAGAGAAATTAAAGAAAAAATATAAATTAAATTTGATGAAGTAATATTTTATAGGCTTTAAATCTACCATGATTAAAATAAGGAGTAAAAGTGAAGCAACACATTTCCTAAGTTTAAGGTGAGTACTCATGTCCTAATTTATAGTAATGATATTTGCTTCTCCTACATGTAATGCATCGAGTATTATTATTATCTAATTGCGCACTATTAATGTTATATGATTTTTTTAATTAAAGATAATTAATCGTCATAAGGTTCTCTTGATGATTCGAATCTCCAGACCGAGTCGTGACAAGATCAAGGTTCTCTTGATGATTCTAGTTAGTTAGGTTCCATAAAGCTTATCAATGAGACATTTTTTAGAAAATATTTCAAATAGTGTGCATGGAATAATGCACTTAAATGAATTTCATCATAAGGATCAAAATAATGAGTAATATGGATAGAATAATCAAAAGATGCATTAGAAGCATAAAATAATAAAAGAACATACTTACAAATCTTATCAATATAGTTTTGTAAATTCATAACTAATTTGTGAAAAATATCAAAGTATAACTATATCAAATTGGTGTGTAGTCTTATCTCAGCCACAAATCATGTTGGATGGTGAATGATGATGTTGAAGGATCTGATGGTAAGGTGATCTTAGTGGTGCTACATGAAATAAGAAATTGTTTGCTTGATGTTCTTTAGAGTTAGTTTAGAGTTTGAGAACTTCAATTGGGGCATTATCGTATGGATTAGGGAGAAAGGAGGGTTGATAAGTGTATGACCTAACCAATAGGGGAGGGGGGAGTGTGCATTAATATTTTTTATTAAATTATTTAGGCTTTAAAAATATTAAATGAGTGTGTAATTTAAATTTTTGATTTACGAGAAAATAAGTGGATGTAAATAAAAAAAAGTTCAATAATAAGTGAAAGGATGCAAGAGGCATCACAAACAAAATCTTTACTAGGTTTGGCCCTTACCTATATCCTTGCTAGATTTTCATTATTTATAATTGTATTATTTCAATCTTACTATTACAAGATCCCCTCCTTCCCTGAGCGGAGAAAGACATGAAAATTTCTTCTTAAGTGCTGCTTATTAATTAAGATTATAAATACTTTCCAGATTGCTTACTGTTGACCCCTACATATCAAACCACACAAAAAGAGGCAAAATTGGCGAATTAAGCGATGCGCGCGTTGATACGACATATCACTTGAAGGGCCAAATAACATCTGATTGCCAAACGGACTACGCCGTTGCAATCATGACGTCAATTCATCTAAATGGGAATCCCTTGCAGTCTAATCGAATGGGATTGATTAAAGGGGGGAGACCGACACCTGAAACTGACGTGCGACATTGCCCAAACAATGTCTGATCGCAAAACAAACTTCGTAGTTGCGTTCATAATGTCTTTAATACCCGAAAGGAACTATCAATTCGTCCAATTAAAATAGTGCGACGAGATCGATAATGATTCTGAGACAATGATGCACAAATCGAGGAAGTTGACTCACGACGTCGCCTAAACGATGTCCGATTGTACAACAGACTTTGCCTTTGCTTTTAGAACATCGATAATAACCAAAATCAACTGTGATTTTGCCCAAAAAAAATCACGCAAATAAATCAACACGCATCCTGAGGCAAAACATGAATTTTCAGAAAACACGTGCAAATCAAGGACCTGACTCGTGGATTTTGAAATGTGTGGATTTTTATTATAATTCTAATAATAATACTATTATTATTAATATAATAATAAATACTATAATTATTATTAATATAATAATAAATACTATAATTATTATTAATATAATAATAATAATAATAATAATAATAATAATAATAATAATAATAATAATAATAATAATAATATTTTTTAAAAAGGGAGTTTTAAAATTAAAATTAAATCAAAAGCTATCATTAACTCACCTCGCATTGTCGAAATCCCCAGCTAAATCCCTGAAATCTGCTGAATCTCGTCGCTGCATGTCATCTTCTCCCGTAAATCTCTCGCCTCGGACGTCACTTCAGCCTCGAACAATGATGAAGTATCATCGTCAAAATGCAAATGAGATGAGGCCTTTGGCTGTTTTGGATACACAAAGCTGCACTTCAACTTCCCTACCGTGAAGCCTACCAAACCCATTCGAAACTCCTTGTCAGTGTTCTATTCTGATTCGTTTCACCCCAGTTCCCTTCCATTCACACACGACGAATGAAAGCCATTGCCTTCCCCATCCGATCCGACCTTTCCTCCACACACGAGCAATAAGACCTCACACCCGCTTTCTTCCCTTCACACGTAGACATTCTCCACATGAATAACTCCACGTCAAAACTGCCTAATCTCCTTCCGTTCACTATGCTGCCTCTAACCTCTCCTTACACAACCCGTCCCTCGTCTTCTTCCCTTCACATGCAAGTAGCAGTGGACAGTCCTCTGTCCAGCACAAATCTAGCCAAATCCCATGACTCAACCTCTTGCTCATGCAAATCTCGACCCTGACCTGCTTCCAATTCCTATCTCTGATCAAACACTCCTACCTTGTCGATTCCTTCATAAATATAATTCCTCAGTTTGATCCTGTAGCTATTATAGCCCGTCAACCCTTCTGCTCGTCTGATCCCAGCAAAATCACCTCAACTCAATGTCACGACCTGGTCCGGGGGCTCGAATTAACGAGGTGGAAGCAAACAGTTGGATGGTAGATTAAATTTTTAATTACTAAATCTATCTCCAATATATTGAAAGAGCCACTAAACATAAAAAATATAAACTAATATAAAAATAA